TTGGGTCTTCGTTTCTGTGCGAGGGCTTTCTTTAGTTGTGGCAAGCGGAGTCCACTGTTCATTGCGGTGCACGGGCCTCTCACTATTGCAGCCTCTCTTGTTGTGGAGCACAGGCTCCAGACGCGCAGGCTCAGTAGTTGTGGCTCACGGGCCTAGTTGCTCCGCGGCATGTGGGATCTTCCCAGACCAGGGCTCGAACCCGTGTCCCCTGCATTAGCAGGCAGATCCTCAACCACTGCGCCACCAGGGAAGCCCTGCATAACTTTTTGACATGTTGATCTAAGTGATCTAAGTGAAAACTGCTTAGTGTCAGAAGTGCCACCTGTTGCAGATTGAGTTTCCTTCATTCCTACAGGACATCATTAGATATTGAGGACCTTCTTTTCTATCAAAAATAAAGGACTCCAGGGACTTCCCTGGTGGCGCAGTGGTTAAGAATCTGCTTGCCAATGCAGAGACACGGGTTCGAGCCCTGGTCCGGGAAGATCCTACATGATGCAGAGCAACTAAGCCCATGTGCCACAACTACTGACCCTGCGCTCTAGAGCCCGTGAGCACAACTACTGAGCCCACGTGCCACAACTACTGAAGCCCGTGGGCCTTGAGCCTGTGCTTCACAGCAAGAGAAGCCACCGCAATGAGAAGCCCGCACACTGCAACGAAGAGTAGGCCCTGCTTGCCGCAACTAGAGAAAAGCCCGCACGCAGCAATGCAGACCCAACGCAGCCAAAAATAAATAAAAATTTTTAAAAAGCATAAATAAATAAATAACCCCAGCCTTGAGTCAGAGTTTCCTAATATAGGAAAAGCTGTTTTACCTAGTACAACAGAGACTAGTGGGTAATCTGTTAATTAACAAAATTGGTTAAAGCAGGGGATCATTTTTTTTTAAAGATGTATATGTATCTTATTTTGTTTCAGTTAATTATGTAAATGTGCATTCATTTGCCACGTTTTGAGGTAGGGCCAATTCCTTTTGGGTCCAGATCTACTAAAGTTCCATGTTGTCTTTCTTGAAATAAACTATACTCACAGTGCTCTCTTTTCACGCTGTATCTTATCAGTTACATAGTAGTTTATTAAATTACACAATTAGTAACAAATGCAATTAGCAAAAGTATTTTGGCAAAATACAAAAACTAGTCATGAATGTTCAGTGTGCTAGGGGCATCAGTCAGTAAGTTTTAGAGGGGAGTGGGAAGGGTCATTTAACCTAGTGAGTTAGTTTAAGTTAAGGTCAGTTTCTATTCTACACAGATATGTAGAATCAACATTTGGCAAAACTTAGTAAGACCTCAGTTTTATTGTGTTTTACCATCATAACCTCCAGCTGAGCAAAATGTGGTCCTGTTCTTTTGATAAGTTAGTCTCCAATGCTTTAGCTGTCTTAAAAAGAGAAGAAACAGATAACTTCGGATGCTGTATTATGCACTAATATTTTGTCTTTTTCTAACAAAGTGCTTGGAAGAGGGGATTGGGAGACCTGTATGAAAATAGTGTATTTTCTCACACACAATATTGTGTAACATTGGAAAACTGATGCTTCATTCTCATAGTGAAATGTTTTGGTGTTTTCCCACCAGTGTTTCTCTAACTTCCTCTGGGAATAAAAATAACAAAGCTTTGATTATAATATTTGTGCACATAGTGTCCTCCCTGAAGATAACCCTTGGTATCTCAGTCCTATAAAGGCTTTTTAGGAGTCCGTTTGAAGATATCGTAAAGTTAGTAACATAGCTTTGAATGACAGTGACAAAATATATCATATTTATCTCTATGGCAACATCTTTTTTTTCTACTTTTCCTTTTTATTTTTAAGTAGCTTCACCTTTGTTGCAGCTGGATTATATTAACTGACTTAATAGGAAAGAAAGAATTTTGTTCAGATTCATCTAATTGTACCTGTATTTTTCCAGGATTGAATTTCCTATACAGGTTCTTTAATAAATAAGTAATGGGGGGGTAATATTAAGAATAACAATATCAGATAATATCAGATAACAAATGTGGGTTTTTGAATGCTGTCAAAAAAAGAGTAAAGCTGTCTCTGATTACTTTAACCCTTATTGAGATTTCTCTTGAGTAAATACCATTAGCATTATTTCACAAATTTATAATATAACAAGTAATCAGGGTTGTGTTTAGCTACGAGTGACAGAAAATCCAAAATAATAGTGGCTTGGACAAATTAGAATTTTGCTTCTCTCTCATGTGAAGTTCTGGAGATCTTACGGTAGCTCCTTGATCGTCAGGATCACTAGCTCCTTTATCTTATTGGTCCATAAATCTCAGATTGCCGTTTCCATCTCATGGTCCAAGATGGCTACTCCAGTTCTAGCAGTCACACCTGCATTCTAGCTAGCAGGGAAGAGAAAAGGGAAGGAGGAAGGTTGCCTTCCACCATCACCACCTTGACAAAGTTTCGTGCACCCTTTCTCCTTAAGTCCATTGACCAGAACTTGAATATATGGCTTCATTTGGTTGCAAAGGAACATAGTCCTTTTTCTGAGTGGCTTTGTGCCCAACTAAATGCCATTAGAAATGGAAGGTCCTATTTCTATTCTAATGTTACAGAAGGGAAAGCAGATATTGAGCACAAATGACTGTTCCTGCCACAGTTAACATTCTTTCCCTAACAAAATAAAAGCTTGAATTTATGTTCTTTAAAAGAAACTATCGTCTGTAGCACAACGCTGAGTACGCGGCAGGTCACTATGCTCGGTAAATTTTTTTTAATGAATGGTACGAAGTCAATAAATACTTGTTGACTGGCTCCTTTTCTCTGGAGATGTCACTGTTAGGATTAGTGGAATGCCATAAAAAGTGAAATGAACATAGTTGGAGAGAAAAAATGATTGATGATTCATTGTTATGGCAAGAAACGTTTAACTTGAGGAAGAGAAAGTAAATGTTAAATGAAACAACTACGCTGTCCCAGGCATGTGTGTGTACAAATTATTTTTTAATATAAAATAAGCACAATTAGAGTTTGTAGTATACCAGCTTTGATTCCCTGCCGTTCTAACCTGTAGGCCTCTTGGTAAACAAGCACTTTAAATTATAGGTTTTCCTCCCATTTTGCAAACCTTTAATAATTAGAGGTAAGGCAGGTTAACTGTAATAGTTTTTATGCATTCAAGATGTGATTCTTCTTTTTCACAAATAATAATGTGATTTTTGGTTTTCTGCTGCAAAAGTAACTGCTTTGTTTGAAATTTAATGAAGAAAGTAGGAGGCATTATGTTTGGAAAATCGTAAGATCTTAGCAGGAAACTCAGCTTTAAGTCTGAGCCTGACCTTAACCCATGACCAATGGAATCTAAGTGTGTTTATTTTTACAGTAGCCATAATTTGGGGCTTGTAAGTTTGTTGGTTTGTTTTCTCATTCAGTTTTGGGGATCCTGAAGCAGTATTTTAATTATAGGAGTTTAGCTATTTATAATTTTCATGGCATGAAGATCAGCATGTTTTGTTTTGTCTTGGCTATCATGTTATCTTACTCTCAGAAACGCGTGGTCTTTGTGTCTAACAATGCACTTAAAAAGAAACCTCTCATGCTGCAAGGCTGGAATTCTAAAAGAACAATTTCACTCATCTTTTCCCCTCTTTTTAAAACAACATGTATGTTCTCTTGGAGATGTTGCCTTGAATTAGACAAAGCACAAGCAGTTACTGCAAATGTTTTCTGTACAGCTTTGTTCATGTACATTAATTTCAATTTGTTTTTCACAGATTTTTTTCTTAGCTTTGTCGATACTTATATTTCATAATCACATTGACTTTGAATTAAGTTGCATTGAATTTTTATCACTCTCAGCTATTGTCAAATCCTACTTTTTGATGAGTCCTTCCATATAGCAAGTTTGTTGAATGAATGATAAGCAAACAGGAAAAGAAAGCAAGAGGGGTTAGACTGTGTGTCAGCTTTATCTCAGTTTAATCATGCTCCCTTAAATGGAAACATTTATATATATATACTTTTTTCTTTTTTTCCTTTTTGCTGTGACAATTCCCATGTTTTTGCTAGGAAAAAGAGGAGTTATTGAAAACAGTAGTTAATATCAAAGTCATTAAGTCATTTATAATCAGCGTTGGAATACCTACAGATGTGTTTATCTTTTCCAAAACACTCATACTACCCTGTTTTTGATGCCAAACTCTTCTTGGCTCATTCTTATTGCAGTATTTGTGTGGTTGGGAACAAGAAACCTCAGATGCCCTGGGTCATTTATAGATGATCAGAGGTTGGCAATATTACATTTAGAATTATATAGTTATGCTAGACATGCACTTGTAATTTTTTTAACCCTTCCACTACGCTGTATAATTTTTAAGGGCAAGAACTATGTATCTTCTTCAGTATATACCTGTTGCTTACCAAAAGAAAAGTCTAACACTGGCTGCTTCAAAGGAAGAAGAGGAGGCTAAGCAGGCAAGGCTCTCGGCCTTGGCCTTGCTTCAGTGAGAATCTCTTTTATGTATCAGTAATTTGGGATCAGAATTCTTTTTTGAGGGTGAGGGGAACGTTCCTCTTCTTTAAAAAAGAAGTTTGAAAATGACTCTATTAGATAACTTCTGTGTCTTGTGACATTATCTAGTGTAACCTCCTCATTTTACAGGACTGGAAACCATACAGATCATACAGCTACTCAGCGGCAGAGCTAGAATTAAAATCCCTCTGTTCTGACTGCTTGACCAATACTCTTTATAGTATACTGCAGCATATATGTTATCAGAACCTAGGAATATTCTAAGAATACTATTGATACGTAGTACCTGGTAATGATAGTCATTCAGTAATTCATAATGTTTATTGCGTTATGAATGAATGAATCGTAAAATGGTTTGTAGTTAATTACCCCCAAAGCCAGGTTCAGATAAAAACTGTCATTTTTTTTATGATTGCGATGAAATGTTGGCATCCTAAGAACTCTGAATTTGACTTGTTATAGGACTAAGCCAATTATTATGAGTAACAACTTGTTCTTTGTTAATCTTAGGATCACCTGCTGCTACCAGCTACCACCCATAACAAGACTACAAGACCAAAGATGTCAATTGTATTACCAGCAATAAACATAAATGGTAAGTTGGAATTTTGGTTTATGAACGACATGCAATTGCTTTGTTTAACCTAGATTCTCTGGATTAACTAAAAGACATAAAATGTTCAGTTGGTTAGTTATATGTCCATGCATTAATTCTGAAACATTTTCCCACTGTTTTCACAAAATATTATTTTTAAATTCTTGTGCTCTTTTAAAAAGTAAAGGATTTAATTTAAAGTTGCTTTTTAAATTACTATATTTTTAAAAGAAAAAAATCATTCTCTTTTATTTACAAAATTGGAAAAGTTAACATCTTTACTGATCTATACACTTGTTGTCTGGGGCCTTTCTGGTAATACATGATGTATAAGAAGTCCCTGCTGTGTTCTGAGAGTGAATTTGTAAGTTAGGTTGTTGGAACTCAAAGCAGTTTCCTATATCACATAAATGGTGATATGATTCCCAGACCAAACCTAAGAAGCCTATTTATATTTAATCCGTAATGCTGATGAATTTGATATTGATAGTATTACTATTGCATTTTGTTCCCCCACTAGTTCTGGGTATTGGATAAAATACAAATAATACCGTTAATACTTTGAGAGTATCCAGAGATGTTAAGGCATAGCGTACTTGCTTAGAGTCTAGGAGGAAAAATAAGACGAGCACAGAAATCACTGTATCCCAAAGAGAACGTCCCATAAGGAATAAAGAAAGTACTAAAGAAATTTAGTAAAGAAGAGATTACTTCCAGCTGGGTTCTTCATGGAAAAGATAAATCTCACTCCCAATACCAGCTGTGTGTCGTAAATGAACACAGTGTGTATTGTTGGCTGATTACTTCCTCTGACACGTCATATTAGGCTCTAATGAAACTAGGAGAATTGGCTATCCCTCTCAAGTCCATTTATCTCGTGTAATAGAACTACTGGTAAATTTTCTGTCTAGTAATGGGAACCTTATAGTTTAATGAGTAAGACGAAAATGAAAAGCCCTTTAACCTGCAGTTGAACCAATCCACATTCTGATTGATGATCATGATTAAGCCACCAAATACAGTTATAAAACAAAACACTGGGATTCTAGATAAACTCCAATAAAATTTAGTCTTAGAGAAAAAGTATTAGATATTCATTGTACATATTAAGACCATAGAGGACTATAGAATTTCAGTTAGCTGTATATAGACAGCTTATTAGAAATGCTTAGGAGGCAACGTTATAGACACAAAATAAAACTTCTTTTTTTGTTAAAGCATAAAAGAATTATGACATTTTCTTAGTCTTACAAAGACAACAAATTTGTTAAAGAAACAAACTATAACATTGAGACGAACTTATCTTCCTTCAATAAAGGCATACCTCTGAAGCTTTCATGGAGCAATCATATTACAACTTCAAGTGGAACAGTATATTTCAAAGTGTACTATATTATACTCCAAAGAATATACTTAGGGAATATTATTAATCTTATTCCATAGGTACCTAGGTTTCTCTGCTTGAACCGTAATAGGTTTAACTTCTGGTCAGCTTATGCTCAGAAAGGCTATTGTCTAAGCTTCAACAAGGCAGAATTCACTTAACTTTGTTGTTCTGATCTCAGATTCTTATAAAATAAAACCAGGCATTCTCTTGCATAACACTGAACTATCCGTTTGTATTAAGCCAAGAACAATAAGATGCTGTTTGATTCTGATTTTCTTGGCCAGGGGACTAATTTTTGAAAATGAGCCTTTTCATGGATTTGAAAAATACAATAATTAAAGGATCATTTCCTTGTTAATCTTGTTTGGGTTTCTTTGTAAATAAGTTTTGTTTTCCTTTTTAGGATATAGTATACTATTAGAAAATTTAAGATTCAAATTCAGGAAATACTGATTGAGTATATACCATGTGTTCAGTCCTGTGCTGCATCCTCAGCCTCTTTTCTGAACCATCTCTTCACCTTCTTGCTCTAACAGGGGCTACTTCTCAAAGTAGAGCTTGATTTTTCCTCCCCACCTCATATACCTCTGAGCCTGCAGATGGGGTGGGTGGTATCTTTGCTCCCCACTACAACTTCCAAATGACCTCTCCTTTTTTCTTCGGTCTCCCTAACATCTTTCAAGTTTATAACACTCCTCCTACCCTTCTTTGTTGCTGTCTTCTATTCCACCTTCACTGATGACTCTCCACCACTGCTTTTGTCAGCTCTTTGTAAAACTTCAGCATCCACACAGAGGACTCATCCAGCACTCTGGCCTCTTTAGATCCAGTCATCTTTTATTTCTGCACTACCTCAGCCTCCCATCCACACGATCATACTCTAGACCGTATCATCATCCGTAATGGCACTCCATTTGTAATCTCCTCTTCAGGCGTCTCCCTCTGACTCTTACTTACTCTCCTACTGTAATACCCACACTCCAGCTGGGTATCTCTGACCTCACAGATCTCCAGCCCTCTGACCCTACCACTTTTTCTGTGTCCATTACATCCATCATGGCCATACACCCCTCCTTACCCAGCCTACATTCCATGTCCCATACTATCACCACTCTCTTGCAAACTACCCTCCTGGCTCCTCTTTTCTTAGGTCCCACTTGCCTGTAAAAATCCCACCCTAGTTAAACCCAGCTATCCTCTTTATGCCTGCTCTCAAGCAGCTGACAATTGCTACAAAATATCATCCAGTCAGGACAAGTAGATTCACTTCAAATTTATGACCAGGAATTCCAAAGGGGCATTCAATACTGCATGTCAGGAATAAAGACACGGACGTAGAGAATGGACTTGAGGACACAGGGAGGGGGAAGGGTAAGCTGGGACGAAGTGAGAGAAGTAGCACGGACATATATACACTATCAAATGTAAAGTAGATAGCTAGTGGGACGCAGCTGCATAGCACAGGGAGATCAGCTCGGTGCTTTGTGACCACCTAGAGGGGTGGCATAGGGAGGATGGGAGGGAGATGCAAGAGGGAGGAGATACGGGAACATATGTATAACTGATTCACTTTGTTATAAAGCAGAAACTAACACACCATTGTAAAGCAATTATACTCGATAAAGATGCTAAAAAAAAACAACCTCTTGTCATTGCTAGTAAATTCACTTGCCTTCCATCTGAAACAAGAATTTCTCACCTTCTCTTCTCAAATATCCAACATCCCCTCTCCTCACCCCCTCAGCTGATGAACTCACCCAAATGCTACACTGAGAAAATAGATGTAATTGTATAAGAGCTGCTTTATCTTTCTGCTACCAGCTGCATCTACACCCACAAACTCTGCCTTCCTTCTTATTGCACTGGGAGAAAAGTATCTTCCATGGAGTTCTAAATCCCAACTTTGCTACTTATTGGATAAGTATAGTTGGGCAAGTTAATTAACTTTTCTGTACTTGGCTTCCTGTAAAAGGAGATATTACTAATACCCTCCTCTTAGATTTGTGTGCGAATTAAATGAGCAAAAATGCTTTAAATAGCGCCTAGCTGTTAGGTTAGTCACTGTTACCACCTTTGCCATTGTCATCATCATCGCCCTTATCTAAGGTGACTCCTTCCTTTTGGATTGTGCATTCCAGTCCTTCTCACAGTTTCAAAGACTTTGCTCCCGCATTTTTAGTCTTTCTATCCTGAATGATCAGCTTCTTCGCTACTGGATCATCCCCATCAACGTACAAAATGTCTTAGTATTCCTTTTGGTGTAGGGAGACTCTCTTAACTCCACGTTCTGTTTCTCTGCTACCCTTCATAGCAAAGCTCTTGAAAGAGTTACCTGCACTCGTTGCCTCCATTTGCTTATCTCCCATTCTCTCCTCTGCCCACTCTTACCTAGCTTTTGCCCCTACTGAAATGCTCTTGCAAAAGGGCCACCAATGACCAATATCTTGCCAAAGCCAAAGGTCATGTCTTCATTCTCATCTTACCTGACCTCTTAACAGTATTTGACATGGTTGACTATTCCCTCTTGTTTTCAGTCCTCCAATTTTTATTTTTAAAAACTTCAAATCTACAGAAAAGTTGAAAGATGAGTACAGTGAGTATATGGAGAACCTTTACCGAGATTTCACCAATTGTTGACATTTTTCCGCATTTGCTTCATTTTTATCTATTTATCTGTTTACAATCACATGTGTTTTTTTCTGAACCATTTGAGAGCTAGTTGCAGACATTTTAACACTTCACCCGTAAATACTTGAATATGCATCTCCTAAAAAAAGGATGTTCTCCTATGTAAGCACAATAAAATGACCACACCAAAGTTTAACACTGATACAATAGAGTTTAATATAGTATCCATATTCAAATTTCCACATTTGTCCCCAAATATTCTCTATAGCTTTTGGGGGGAGGGATTCAGAATCCAGTCCAAGGTCATACATGGCATCTACTTGTCACACCTCTTTAGTCTCCTTTCATCTAGAACAGCTCTTCTGCCCTTTTAGAATTGTTTTGCATGACATATACATTTTTTTAGAAATCAGATTTATTGAGGTATAATGTACACACAATAAAAATCACCAATTTTATGTGTACAGTTCAATGCGTTTTGACAAATGGAAACAGTTGTGAAACCACCACTTCAATCATGATATCAACACTTTCACTGCTTCAGAAAGCTCCTTTGTGCCCCTTCACAGTGTCAACTCCAGTTCATTTTTGGTATTCCCTCTTTTGAAACACGTTCTTTTGTAGGCTTTTATGATACCACAGCTTGTCTAGTTTTCCTCCTGTATCTCCTTCTCGGTCAGCTTAGCCAGCTCCTCCTCCTCTGTGAGGACGGGAATGTTGTTTCTTATGTCTGCACTTATGACCATAACCTCAGCACCTAGAGCAGCGTCTGGCACAGGAAACACTGCAGGATGTTCACCTCTGTTCCTTTATGTAATGCTCAGCTGCCAGCTAAGTATTATCTTCATTTTATAGATGAAGATGTTAAAGCTTATGGAAGTAAGTCATACCATTTATTCAACCACTCCATAATGGAGAGCCAGGATCTAAATACATTGTATAAAATATATTTTGATCAATCATTATATTGTTAATGAAATCAATA